TTACAAAATTTTAACTCGTGATGTGCCGCTTAACAAGAAAGAAAAGCGTCAATTATCTCGACCGCTTTCAGATGATGATATCTTACTAACATCTTCTTCTCTTTTTCCATCACAGCAATCATCAACAAAAAAGGCATGTGAACCAGGTACTTGAGGTTTTCTTTTTAAAGATGGATAAACCTTCAAAGAAATATTCATCTCAAGTATCCTACTAACCATAATTTCATGTTAATTCTAGAATATGCACTTCGCTATTCTTCTATGTCCTCGTGTCAAACCAATATAACAAATGAAATTCGTTTAGTTAACGAGCCTCGGGATGCTTTTACTGCTACTTATTTGCTTCGACGACTTAATAGTAAGTAATTTAAAATTAAAACAACAACATTGGCATATATTTTTTTCTCTATTTCATTATTAAAATATTTTCTTATATACGTATATATTTTCAGCTTTATTTCCAATACAATATGTTCGAGGTGTGCAGTTTGAGTGTATTTACCTTTTTTTTAATCTATAAATCGATTGTATTTACAAGACTCTCACATTTATATTTAGTTACTTATTGTTTATAAAAAATTAAACATCTCTTTAGAACTCATATATTAACCTTTGATGATTTGAATTTCTAAATAATGAAATAATAATTAAATGAAATCATGTTCTATTTATCTTTTTGTGATGCATTTTTTGAAGGTATTGAACGTGAATCAGTTCCAAATGCAACAAGTCTTTCAACAACTATGTATCCATTATTAGCATCAACTTCTCGCATTGATGAAGTATGAAAATATTTCATAATTTATCTTTTATAAAGAAAATTTTTGTTTTCTACAGGATAATTCTGTTGAAGTTATTATTGATACTGAAGGCGAGTTAGATATAAGTCGAATAACAACAGGAAATCAAAGTGATGATGGACGCCAACAAATTAATAATTATGTCACCAATCGAGTTTCTACACATTGTAAGTGTTGATTAGAGAAAACGAAAAAAAAAACATAAATAATGATTGTCACATTCTATTTTAAAGTGAACGAACGTTTCTTAGGTATACCTCGATCTCAAGGACGACCAAAATCATCAACCGTAATTAATTTACAAAATCGTTCTATTCTCGATATACGAGCAATACAACCACCCATTCAAACATCCGTAATTTATGTTATTCAAACAATAATCATTATGATTTTCTCCTTTTTTTTGTTGTCTTATTGACTAAATAGAATCCAAAACGTATTAGTGAACAATATCAGCAACAACGCCAACGATTAGCTACGGGCGGTGGTAAACAAAGTTCTGCTGAATTAGTTGATAAATCAAATTGTTTAACAACGCGTTCTCTAGCAATGCCAGGAAACGAAAAAAAAGCAGACGAAACATCATCTAATCACGAAAATTCATCATCAACTACTGAGAAACTTCTTCCTCTACGACCAGATAATATACCAATTAATCTTGTTTCTCGTTATGAACCAGCGACATTGAATCATTTAACATCATTAAATAGAATACAGACCATCGTAAGACTTATTTTTTTGTTTGAAAGGAAAAAAAATGATTATTTGTTTTTATTCAAATAGAGGGTATCAAGTGTGAAAAAATCATTCAAGTGAATTATTTAATCTTTGCAAATGAATGCTCGTCATTGAAATGCATACTAGTCGATTTTTATGATTTTATTTATCGATTGCCATTTGCTATGATCATCATTACATTTTTCATCCTAACTGATTTATTTTTCATAACTTTTTTATCCCCAATGTGTACTCTTTTAGTCCAAAATGAAACCCTGTGATGCTCATAGACTATATTTTTGTTTCTAAATAAACAGTTAAAAAATAATTTCGGCTTATTTTAATAGCTATTTCATCAATCAATCATCAAATCTTTCTTATCATACACGTCTTTACCTATTTCTGACAGTAAATGAACACTAATAAAATATCAGTTGTAATTTTTAATAATTAGATGAAGCAAAAGACAAAAAAAAATCGATTATGAAAGAAAAAAAATTACTTCGACTAAAGTTCTTTTTTTTTTAAATAAAACTATGTTCATCATAATTTTCATTGGCAACGTATTAGTTCTACGAAATATATCGATCATTTCTTCTAGCAGTTTGAATTTCGTCAACACTACCCTCCATAGTCAATATTTGTATGAACAGATCTTTTCATTGCCTCTCTAAGGTTTGTTAAGTGCTAAACATCCATGCCACATGTTGAAACCTAATTATTTTTTTGATTCATGCTCTCTGTATTGACTAAAGAAGAACTAGCAACGACAAATATTGACAAGTCGCAAACATTGGAAAGTATTACCAAGATACGATCGAACGCATTATACTTTCTCATGAACTTCCCTTAAATGCTGAAATAGCTTCTGTTGAGAAATTGCTGTGGTGGTTCTATAGGTCATGAATATTGCAAGAATGATTACTATCTGGCAGAAAAAAAAACGTTCATTTTTGCATCGGATATTGAACATGTAATAGGATATAACACGTCAATCAAGACACTCACCGGTCCGATCCTAATGTTGTTTCAGAAGATGTATAATCAAAGAGATAAATTTGATGAATTAGTTTCATACAAAACGGTCAGAAAGTTCCTTTGATGTATCTGGATTACTGATTTTTGAAAGACAAACTACAATAATTTCATTTATTATATTCTATTGTACTGTTATTAAAAAAAATGTCACTTTGAGTATTTCGAAGATGGCAGACTTTTACAAAATCAATAACTATATTGTATTACAGAAAATTATCAGAGCTACAAGAAAAGTTCAAAGAGTGTCTTTTCTTTGTTGAGATATGATGAAAAACACAGAATAGGACTGTCGTACGGTATATTACTGATCTAACTCGATGGTATTCGTGTTTCTACCAACATGCTTCGAGGTTTTGATGTTTCTCATTGAAATTTTTACTGGACATACAACTCAACATGGTTAGTCTTTTGAGATAGACTTACACTCGTCTAATATTTTTTAAGATGTATAGATATATCTCATACCATCCTCCTAAGATATTTCGTGACCTAACGACCACATTATTTCGAGTATAAGTGACTTTGATTTTCATATGTAGCGATTTTAATCTTGTTGAGTTATCTATACTATTAAGAACCCATACACTAATATTACTTTGCCTGATATTATCGTTGTTGTATGTTCATAGAAAAATAGAAATTTATTTAGAAGAAAACAACTAATTTCAGATTGAAGTCTTAAATATAAAAAGCTAGATGCATCTGTCAAAGATGCTAGCAAGAAAATGAGAAATAGCAGAAAATTTAATTGTCTTAAATGTTTGAAGCTCAAACTAGATGAAGCAATTGTACAACATGGAAGACTATTATTTTTTTTTTAGAATTACATTGGTACTTTTGTTAACTTATATCGTATACGAAGTTGCGCAATCATGCAAATTTTTGACCACGTAGAAATTTTGTTGAGATATTTCTTAGTATTTAAAGGATATTCAATTTTTTTCTGATCAATTTGGCAACCGACTACATTAGTAAAGCATCTATTTGAAAGAGCTGTTTTTATTTTTTATTTGATTGTCATCCTAAAGGTCTTTATTCTCTCAAAAATATTTGTGGTATGATCGTCAACAAGATATTTGAATCCGTTCTATTTGCAGAGTTTTTAACTTAATAAAAATAAAATAAACAGATCTTGAACTCGTCGTGTGAACACTCCAAATCATACATATGCTGGTTTTACTCTTCGATGCTATACAATACTATTTAACAATGAACTCAAAAGTAGAAAAAGAGTTCAGAAAATATGAATGATGATAATTTTCATTTTTAGAACTTAAATAAATAAAAATCTGATCTATTGCTGTGACAATAGTATGAACATGAATTTAAAATGTTTTGCTCATCGAAAATTGTTTTCATTGAAGAACAATTCTAAAAACGATTTAACGAACTGTCAATCTATTTACTTATTAAATAGGCGGCGAGAAAAAACTGCAACTTCTGTTGAAATTTATTTTTTAGTTGCAATTTAAACTTTTTCTTTGAAAGATTGAAAGAAAGTCTTTATCGTCTCATTTGAATCGGTTCTCGTTTTAGGAAATGAGATTTTTGCCTACAAGGACATCTTTTGTTTTCAACTTAGAACCCCATGTTATTCCTTGTTTTTTTTTCTGTTCTTCGCTTCCATCGTATACCACAAAAATCATATTGTTCGCGTCGCTGATTCTATAACGCATTGAACGATGGAATCATTTCTCTTTTGATCGATAATTACTTTCAGTACATAATAGAATGAGAAAAGGCAAAAAAAAATTGATTAACAGTTTCTCTCTAAAGAAGTTTTGCTATGTGTTTTCTTTCTAGAATATTGTCTTTCTGATTTTATAATAGAATAATGCACATTTCCTACTGGATACGAGTAATGAGTCATTGAGTTTTTCTTTTTTCACGAGAGAAACATACGATTTTTATTAATGTGAATGATTATCATACTTTTTAAAGAGAATTTAATCGTATTTATCCGAACAAAACGTGTATTACATTCGTTGCTTAATCAATAAACGTTTCGTATATTGACAATGCATGAAAGTAAAGGTGTCGAAAATATAAAAATCTCATTGTTCATAACACACTAGTTTCGTTGACGAAAAAAATTTCATCGAAGTTGTCAAACGATTCAATTGATTTTGTATGACATAGCAAAGTGATGACTGCTTGTTCCGGGTATTATTAACTACTGTGACTAGTTAGAATAAATAGCAGCAGAAACATTAGTAAAATTCAGGACATCTATTTTTTTTTTATCAAAATCAACGAACAATAGAATCGATGAAACTCGATCTAAACGATTAAAGTTCATGCTCGCTTGTAACCCTAAATGAGCATGATTGAGAAATTGATTAGCAATAGGTGATGTTGATCTCTTGTTTTTTATTAACAATATAAATGTCAATTATTTTTAATTTCATTTCTTTCTTTACAGTTTCGAACAGTCAACCATTGATCATGGATGTGGAAAACGGTCAAATGCTAACCAAATTAACTACCGACAATGGTGATCATAATCATGGTTCGATCATAAGTTTTCATTCGATAAACTATACGTTAAGATCACAACAATGCTGCAATATCCTGCCAATGCCATGTTTAAAGAAGAAACAACAACAAATTCTCTATGATCTCAACGGAGTCTTTAAGCCTGGTATGAATGCTATTCTAGGACAGACGGGCAGTGGTAAATCATCTCTATTGGATATTTTGGCTGATCGAAAAGATCGACAAGGTCTCACAGGACAAGTTCTCATGGATGGACAACCGCAAGGATCTGATTTCAAATATCGAGTCGGATATGTTGTTCAAGATGATATTCTGAGTGGCACTTTGACGGTGCGAGAAAACTTGGCATTTTCGGCTAATGTTCGATTACCTCAAAATGTTTCGACTAAAGCCAAGAAATCAATTATTGATGAAGTCATACGACAATTAGATTTGGAAAAATGTGCTGACTCGAATGTAGGCAACGAATTTCAACGTGGTGTATCTGGTGGTGAACGCAAACGAACAAATATTGGCATGGAACTAGTTCTTTCGCCTAATGTTCTCTTTTTAGATGAACCAACAACAGGTACATAATGCAAGATTGTCTTTCGATAGAATGCCACATAGGCTTGTAGTTAGTACGTTTCAAAGATAAAAGAATTGATTGAAGATTCTATGGAATGATAAGTTACAAGCAAACTATTTTCGAATAAGCTGACAGAAAACGTTAAAAAACGAAAAAAAAATTAATTCTTTGGTTAAAATTTTTCTCGAAAATTCACTAATTTGAACGATGAAACAATGTTAAGTGAATGTGAAATATTTGTAGTGTGAAAGAAGACTTGATGTTTGTTTGTTTGTTCTACTATATTTTTTGCACTAACATATCGATATAATTCAATTGAATTTCATATATGAATATTTTCAGGGTTGGATTCATCAACAGCTCGTAATATCATGGAACATCTTCATCAATTATCAAGATCAGGCCGTATGTTTTTTATTTGTTTATGATCTCATGTTTCTTTCTATTGTCTTTCAAAAAGGTACAATAATTTTCTCGATTCATCAGCCTCGTTATTCGATATTCAAATTGTTCGATACTCTTTTCGTGATTGCTGCCGGTCATTGTATTTATCATGGTCCAACTAGTGATGTTCTTCCATTTTTCATATCTACCGGCTTCACTTGTGAAGAACATGATAATCCTGCTGATTTCATTCTCGATATATGTCAAGGCGATTATCGATCAGCATTGTCATCAATCGAATACTCTAATGAGATTGAACCAGAAAAACAAAAAAGCCAATTTGCTCATGACCTATATAAATTCTATGTTCAATCATCGGTTTATATTGCAATTAAAAAACAAATTGATGGTATGAATAATTTAACCAATGGTTCACCAGTAGTTACGATTGATACACCTCAATTGCCGAAAAAATCACGTCTACAGGAAATTTTCTATGTATCACAACGAACATTTAGAAATGCATTTAGAAATCCAGCACTTGTTGGCATGCAAACAGCTATGTCAATTTTTCTAGGTGTACTTATCGGTTTGATCTACATGAATACCGATCGTTCATTAGATAGTGGATTAAAAAACCGTATTGGTGCTATTTTTTTTATTGTCACCAATCAAGTATTCGGCAGTCTATCAGCACTTGATGTCTTTATCAAAGAACGCAATTTATTTCAACATGAAAATGCCAGTGGTTATTATCATGTATCTACTTATTTCATATCGAAATTGATTTGTGATATTATTCCACTACGAACCATTCCATCAGTTCTTTTCTCGGTGATTGCCTATTTTATGATTGGTTTTCAACAAACATTTACAAAATATTTTATCTTCTTTTTCGGTATCTTGACTACCACACTCTGTTCATCGTCCTTATGTTTTGTCATTTCGGCCAGTGTGCAAGTGTTCGGTAAAAATTCTTTCTTGTCTAAAATTAGATTGTATTTATCAATTATTTATTTAGGCGTGGCCAATGTGGTTGCAGCTATGTTTTGTGTATTAACATTAGTATTTAGTGGATATCTAGTTGAAATCGAATCTGTTGTAATATTTCTTTCATGGATCAAATGGATTAGTATATTTCGATATTCAACAAATATATTTAGTATCAATGAATTTAGTGGTTTACAACTTTGTTTGCCCAATAATACAGATATTTGTCCGGTTGATGGTAGAAAAATTTTGAAAGATCAAAAAATTGATTATTCATCCGAATGGGATCTATGGAAAAATTTTATAGCATTAGGTGGTATTATGTTGGGCTTTCTGATTTTAACCTATATTCAATTACGTCGTATGAAGAAAACCAAATAAATTGTTAAATAAATGGACTCTTGGGACAAATATACAAAGATCATTTATTACTAAAAACATTTGTCTTTTCCTTTTTTTATGTCAAATATATTTTCCTAGTCACATTCGATGTACTTCCTACGTATTTTATCTCTGGTTAGCTTTAAATAAAATTTTACTTTCATTTAAACATAAACGTTGTGTTCTTAGATAGTTTCAAGCAAATTTTCGTAAGTTAAAAAGTACAAATCTACGGCTCTCATCATTCGACATGTCATCTGGAATATATATACATAAATCACCAGGTTCAAAGAGATTTTCCCATAAACATTTTTGGGCTGATTTATCTTTCTTGACCTATTTTTCAGAAACTTTCACGTTTATCGCAATGGTGCTATATTAATATATAGCTGAAAGCAACTTGGAATTCGTCATAAAATTATTAGTTCTCTCATAATTTCTTTCATCCCTGTTTTAACTAGGTATCTCTTGTTTGTTGATTTTAGCTAAGTTTTATTATAACTTAAGTCGAGATTAGTGTAAAAACGTACAAACGTTAGTCAAAGAAAAATATATCAGTCATAAAATGGTTATGAAAAGACTCTTTAAACCTGACTGTGCTTACATCGATAAATCAGCTTGACTATACTCTTTTAAATAATCGAAAACTTTGGTCTATAGTGTGTATCCAACAAGTTACTTGAAAAAAAAATTGCAACCTGTCGTTTATCCTCGAACGGACATCACTTTTACAAGAATGATCATTGAATAGCACGTAATTAAAATAAGAACTGTCTGTTGGATGAAAAGAAACGTCCATTAATGAGACAAATATTTCATTTCTATTAACCGTCAGTAATTTATAGATAGCGTAGCTACATTGAGACTGTGCTGACTCAAAACACTGAATAATAAGGCTATTTGTCACAGTATAGTATGTAATTTGTTGTAATATCGACGTTCGAACATATCACTCTTGAGATAAGTGTTAAACAGCGTTACAAACAAGTATTATAATTGACTTTCGAATAACTAGTCGAACTATCGAGACATGATGGAACTTGAGTTCGAATAGTGAATAGACCCGACATGGTTGAAATCAATCAGTCAAGATAAAGAATATAGTGAATATTGAGATTTTTAAGTAATCATCTTTCGAATCGTTCTAAATCCTTTGCTAAAATACATGAATATACACTTTAGTAATAATTTTATCGTTAATATGGATTAATTATTCGCTTAATATTATGATCAACATTTGTATTCGTAATAGAGTAACAAACTAGAAGTCAATTTCTGAACTTGCTACTAATGTAGTATAATTTAGTGTAAAATTATCAAATAATTGACATATGTGAGTCTCTGTAAAATAATTAAATTTCTAGCATGCAGATTGTTCAAATATTTAATTTATCAGTGTCATTAAAATGTTCTTTGGAATAAATGTTGAAGTTTTTATGTATAGATACAATTTTTTTTTCCAGATATTTGAAATAAAGAATAATATGAGATACAGCCTTGTACATGATTTAGAAACAAGTTCGAGATTTTTTTTCAAAAAAAAAGATACATGGGCTTGGAGCATAACAGAGAGAAATAACAATAGAAGGTAAAGATGAAAAAAGAGCAACAGTATTTACTTGAATATTTTTTTTGTTCTTTCATGAATATTGAAAGAATCATTTAAGGATTTTACTTATTATATAATGAAATGTTCATTACATAGACATATCTATCGTGAAAAGAGAATTGATCAACTCACAATGAACTGTATTTTTCTATTTTTTGTGCTAGGATGGACGATACCAAATGAAACGAATGCCAATGAAATTGTCGACTTGGAAAAGTCTTCTCTTACCTTAAGCATTTGTTTAAGCATTTATGTTATCACTAAAAAATGATAGAAAGTTTTATTATGATTCTGTTTTTTTATTTTACAATATTTCAGTAAACGTAGTGGCAATATCTAACTAGAAAAAAATCACCATTTTTTTATATACCCTTCTATGTATATGACTACTATCCTTTACACTTATGGTTCTACTACTAAGAACATGGTGTATAGGTAACAAATAGTCACAAAACTCTAGATATCGTACAAGAGACTATAAATATAAAGACTATGAATAAAAAAATAAAATACAGAGGAAATCTCGGTTTTCAGCTATCAAACACATAGTAAGGGCCTATATGATATATTTAGACACTTTTCAAAATTTTCTACATGTATGGTTCTTTTCTACATTTTTTATCTAAAAAATATTATTTGTGCCTTTGAAAGGCAAGATTTATGGTTTTAGGTCTACATTTATGCTCATCACTCTAAGTAAAGCTTCATCTATAATACATGGAAAAAAATTTCTGAGAACTTTTGTCTATACCTTATTAAGATGTATAATATGGGTAGGATGTGACTGTGGATTGACCAGCATGTTTGAAGAGAAGACCTAGAGTCACACCCACACCCTATTGACAACTTACAATATACAAACAAATTTATTCTGGGGTAAGACGAGTTGAGTATCTTGAATTGTTTTTTTTTGTTGTCATCTATATGAATCTCACAAAGATTTTTCGTGCAATTTTCTAATATTTACTGTAATGAGATAATAGAAAGTGAAGTTTTATTATACTTTTAAAAATAACATGAGTGTTTAATGTATAATGAACACGAATACAATCAGTATTACGCTGCAGGCTTGATTCGTCATGCTCACTATGTTGATTTTCGATTGAATAACATCGACGCACAAAAAAAATTCGTTGAGAGCAATATGAAAGTGATTTCTTTATATTCGTTCAGCTATCGAACAGCATCTGAATAGTAGAAAAGTAGAGAAAAAAGATGCGCTGTTACATCTTATATTTTATCTTTCACCAGATAAGTCTGTTGTCGAATATTAAAACAAAGAAACGGACTTTTCTTATTGGTCCACATGAATACAACGTAATACAGAAATATTTTCTTGCATTGTTATTTACTGCGAACATTAATGTTTTCGTCGCAAAACACAACTTTGAAAGCTGATGAATAATTGAGGACGTGGGTAAGGAGAAGACTTTTACTGATATCTTCACCCATCCTCACATTCACACAACTACAAACAAACTCGCACGCTTATATAATCATCTATCAGAAAGCTTAATGCGTTGAAGACATTTGTTGATGAAATTCGAGAAGTAATCAAAATTTTAGTTAAAATAACATGTTACTAGCTCAACCAAATCTGAGAAAACTTTGAGAGTGAATAAAGATGTATAAGTGAGTATCTTGTTGTCACCTGTATGCACACCTACTAAATCCAACTGACCTATTTACGTTCAATTAGATGGTATATTACTCAGGTCTGGCGTGAGGCAATTCAGGCTGGGAAGGGGTTACCAAAGAAGAGCAATCATTTTTCGGAAGCAATGACAATTTGTTTTAATTCACTGAGAGTAAACAACATTTTTTCGACAATTAGAGAGCCGTTCGACTGTAATGGTAGCTGTTTTAGTATTAAGCATAAATACCACCAAAACAAAATCAACACGCTAGGGAAGTATGCGAATTTTTCGTATATATAGTTCATTGAACTATTTTTGAGAAACTTTTACTATTATGAAATAGAAACATATTCGAGAGAATAATCAAAACTTCTGAAAAAAGTTTTTTCGCTACAGAAAGTTAGTTTGAACAACATCTGTAAATAAGGAAAATATCACACAAAAAGTACCCATGAATGTTAGTGCTGCTTCTACAACTGATCAATCTGTCGGTAATATTATTCCCAATTGGGCACCGCGTGCTAATCCAAGTTCGAACCCTGAATACCACATACTTCAAGGTCAATATTGTCGACTTGAGCTGCTTACTTCTGCCAGCAGTAGTATCATGATTCATGAACTTTATGAAGCATTCAAACCAACAGAACAGACCCATTTCATCTACTTTGAATACGGACCATTCGAAACAGTCGATCAATTCAAACAATTTCTACATTCATTGCAGCAACCTAGTAGCAGTACGGCGGTATACAACATCATTGTGAATGAGATGGCTGTAGGATTTATTACTTATTTCAGAATTGATGAAGAAAATGAAGCTCTTGAGATTGGTCACGTCAATTTCAGCCAACAATTAGCACGCACCCGACAAGTCACAGAAGTACGCTTTTTGTTAATGAAATACACCTTTGACACACTTGGCTACAGAGAAATGGCGTGGAGTTGCAATCATCTGAATACAAAATCCTATCGAGTAGCTTTACGACTAGGTTTCCAATATGAAGAAACGTGGCTCAAAATGACGGTCTGCAAAGGTCGCTTGGCAGATATGGCATGATTTAGTGTTGTGGACGATGAATGATCACAAGTCAAACAGAAAATACAACGATGGCTCAGTTCAGACAACTTTGATGCCAACAGTCAACAATTGAGTAGATTGAATGCTGTACGAACAAATCCACATAGCAGCAAAATGGTGACGTCAATTGATGGAAAAGACAACTGATTAAGCTAGGCATGAACATTGATTCCTATGATCAGCAGATATGCAATTATTTTTAATTTGAGTTTGTTCGATTTTGACAGTGTTCCTAGATTGAGAAATGAAAAATTTTTTTTGGTATGTAAAAGATTCAAATAATTAAACAAAATTCTACATTTGACAGGACACATAGGGTGAACCGCGACGGAAGAAGTTATTTCACAGATGTGCCTAGACTGGCAAAGTCAAAGGGTGAGTTTAGCTGCTCCCTTCACTCTCCCACACACTTATCCATCATTCCGAATACATTGTTAATTGACGAATTAATTCAATCTCTCTTCCGCTTTATGAGCATCCATCTTGAAATGTTCGTAAACTTTTTCAAGTAATTCTTGTTCCACATTTTATAACGCTCGATGAGAAACATAGTTTTCATAAACTTTTGACATTGCATGTGGATTTCTCATCTTCTCTTCAGTATACGCTCTTACTTGCAACGGCTGACAGATGGGTTTTGGTCCTATCAGATGAATCATATCTATACAATCATTTT